ATGAATGCTAAGCACTGTGAAAATAACTTGTGTTTCGCATATTGAAAGCACGGTGTTCTTGCCGAGATTTTTCGGGCCAGGGAGAGAGAACTTTCTAAGAGCCTGCTTCGATTATCAATGTCGATTATTTAACACGACTCGCCCGGCCCTCTGTTCCTCAGAGGTCGAGAGTTCTTTCGATAAGAACGAAATGGCGAAGAAGAACGTGGAGGCGGGGAGATAAGAAATGAGAAAAAGAAACTTGAATGGCGTCTGATCATCGTCATCAGAGTTTTATTTCCCGGGAGCATCGAGAAGGAAGAGAAATGTTGTGTTCGGTTGAAACACGTGTTGTTACGGCGATGGGCGTGTCAGATAGGCGGAAGGGGGGGAGGCGAAGGATCACAGCCTTCCGACTTGAAGTCGTAAAGGCGGCGGGCAGGCGAGGGGGAGGGGGGGGAGGCAGGCATTCAGGTCGCCAAGGGTCACGCGCGAAAGAGCATGGAACTGGCCTTGAAAAGTACTTCACGGGAAATTGGAACAAAACAAAAGCAAAGCAGAATAGACGAATGTAGGGGAGAAATAAGAGGAGACGATTGGACACATTCCGTTTCGATTTATATCTAAGCTGCCAGTAATTATACACAAACCGGCGCTGCAATTAAACACTTTCTTCATTGTGGTTTCCATCTCCGCCGCGTTGCAACCCAGTCTTCACAATCCGTCCGTCTCTCACTTTCCTTCTTCCCACCAACTCGCTGCTGTAACTCCCTCTCTACCCCCTCACTCCCCTTCCCATGCCCCCTCACGTACCCACTCACATTCCCTCTCCTCCCCCTCCCCCTCCCCTGTGCCCTGATACGGGTCAGGCAGAGCGCGGGTCACGGCAGGAGTTAATGGAGCTGCTCGGCTTGGGAATTCGTGCGTCGGGCGTCGCTGCCGTAAATTGGACGCAGAAGAAATTGTTTTTTCTTGGTTATCGGTCTTTCTTTGGGCTTATTTTGGGAGGAAATGAAAATCTGTATAGAAGTGCGGTTGATTGATGATAAAAATGGGCGAGTGAAAGATGATAGATTTTTTTTTTTTTTTATAAAGTAGGGTTTCGCGCGGAGGATCAGTATGCAAGCGAGGAGAGGAGAGTTAATGGAGCAGCAGGCCTCCCTCTCTTTCTCATGGCTGGCCGGGCCGCCTTTGCTCCTAGCCCGAGGTAAGGAGGCGGTAATGAGGCCATGGCACTCCGAACTACGCGCGGACCCTACCAAGCGGCCGCGACAGACGCCGGACACCCGCAGCAGCCACTTTCTTTTCGCTGGATGAGTGGGAGGGGGAGGGGGAATGGGGGGCAGGAGGGAGGTCTTTGTGTGCGCAAAATGTGAGGTATGTGACTTTCCCTGCGAGACACTCGCTCGGTCTAGCTACTTCGGTCTCCCTCCCGGGGCGGAGCGGGATCCAGAGGGTAAAACGCACGCATATATTTATGGCCGTGTTTTCGCTCTTGGAAACGTAAGTTCGAGTCTCACAATTATATATTTACACGCATATGCATGCACAATTTGCACGCTCATACACCCAGGTGTGCACACACGTACACTTACACTCGCACTCACACTCCTCCTCGCCCCCAACACGCACATCAGCAAGCAGGTAGACGAGCCAGCACCGCCGCAGGTCCGCGCTGCTTTGGCTGTCCGCGCACAACAATCCGTCCGCGTTGCTCGTTTAAGAGTCAGTCACCTGTGGTATTACAGGCCGAATTCCTCTCATTCTGTGACGACCTTGTTGTTGGGACCTTCTACCTGAGCGATTTAGGAACATTCCCAAAGGCTCGTCATGCGGGGAATGTTACAAAACGCTCATGTCCATCTGACGAGACTCGGGGCGCAAGGTGTGTCTTCGCAAAGGCGTTGTTGCGACTGGTCTGGTGTGCCTCTCACGGCGGTTTCCATTTTAGAGTTTCGATTTTAACTTTTATTTATTGGTGTTTATTCAGTTTATATAATTATATAGATACGCACGCGTGCGCGTGCGCATACACACACACACACACACACACACACACACACACACACACACACACACACACACACACACACACACACACACACACACAGATTGATAGATATCATTTTTTTAATGCTTCCATCTAGTGTCTGGCTGGCTTTATAATTAAGTCCGACCTTTATACAGAAGGCCCCTGCACTAGAGGAGGATTTCGAAGGGATCGTGCATATAAAACTCCCAAAGAAAGATATCAACAGTAGCTTTTCTTCAAGTTATTGAAGAGGTCTGTGGCGATACCTGTCAGGCGTCCCACACTGATTAATGATTCCTAATTTACATGGCGCGAGGAATGCCGGCGCGCTGATTATCGCGATGGCGCGGCTGATAAGAGGCACAACGGCGGTGGTCATGGCGGCGGCGAAGAGAGTTGTTACGCTAATTAAGGCATCGACGCCTCGGTAGGGAAGAGGAGTCGCATTAGAGAGGCAGAGAGAGAAAGAGAGAGAGCGAATAAAAAGGAAAAGGTGACCGCTAAAAGGAGGGAGAGAGGGGTGGAATGGGAGAAAGGAATACGAAGGAAGGTGGCAGAGAGAGAGAGAGAGAGAGAGAGAGAGAGAGAGAGAGAGACAGACAGACAGACAGACAGACACACGGACGAGAAACAAGAAACAAAGTAGTAAAGACAGGGAGATAGGAAGAGAGATAGAGATCCGAACAGAAGGAGAAAGAGAGATAGATTCCCATCCCATGATCTTTTTCTTTTCCCTTTTTTTCCCGATGACTGC